CCGGCCCCGCCGCACGGCCCGGAGCGGCCCGGTCCGCTTCGGTTCGGCCCGAGCGGCCCGTTTCGGCCCGGTCCGGCCCGGTCCGGCTTGGCTCTACCCGGTTGGGTCCGGATCGCTCCGGTCCTGTTCGGCTGGTTGGTCCCGATCCGGTCCGGTTGGGTCCGGATGGTGCTGGCCGGGGGCCGCGCAGCACCGTGAGCCCGCAGGTGTCCGCATGGCCCCCCGCGGGATGCGGCCCGGGACGCGCTGCCTCCTCCTCCTCCTCCTCTTCCTCCTCTTCGCCGCCACCGGTAAGACACCGGGACCGGCACCGGGAGCGGGCGGAGCGGGGCGAACCGGCTCCTCCGGGCGGGGAGGCTCCGGAGCCGCGGGGGCGGTGCGGGGTGCCAGGCGTCCCGGGAGGGGGATGCCCGTGTGCGCGCACACGCGCGTGGGTGGGTGTGCGGGGTGGGCGCGCAGGGTGCGCGCGGGGGGGGCGCGGGGCGGGTGCAGGTGCCTGCCCGTGGGTGCGCACGGGGGGGTGTCCCCCCTCTGGGGACCCAGCGCTGCCTCGTCTGGGGACACGGTGGGGACAAGGTGGGGGACAGAGCTGGACCATCCGGGGGGAACGGGGCTGGGGACACGGAGGGGACCCGGGCTGGGCTGGCCGGAGGAGGGACTATGAGGACAGGGCAGACCTGGAGGGACCTGAGGGACAGGGACATGGGAGGGGACAGGGCTGGCAGGAGCTCTTGGACATCTGGGTCCCCTCCCACTGTGATGAATGCGGCGGGGGGGCAGAGCCCCCCCACCCTCCCAATGTGCCTCAGTTTCCCCTCATGTCCCTAGGGGGACATRGACAAGGGACAGAGCCACTTGCCTTTGGGGACCCATGGGCCCGGGCGTCCGGGGCACCGTGGGAACAGCCCGGAGCAGTGGGTGACGTCACGGGAGCAGGGCGCACCCCCCACACCCCCAGCCCAAAGCCCACTGAGATGCGATAGGGAGTGGGGGGGGTGAGGGGTGCTGTGCCCGTCACCCAGCGTCAGGTCTGTGCCCGCCCCGGCCCCCCGACCGGTTGGTTGGGGATGTGGGGTAAGCTCATGGGAGCGCGCACACGCGTGTGCGGTGGAGCGGGGACACACGAGCACGCGTGAGCGCCACCGAGCAGTGTGTGCAAGCGCAGGCACACACAAAACGGGTGCCCAGTGTGCGTGTTCACATGCGCACATGCACACTTGTGCACACATGGCAGAAAAGCGAGCACACGGTGGTGTGCTCYACAAGCACACACGTGTGCACGGTGGCATGTTCAGGTGCACATGTRTGCTCCCGGCCACCTGCACACACATGTGTCTGCATACAAAGCCAGGGGTTCACACGCAAGGGGACCCCACGGCCGTGCGCGTGCAAGAGCACGAAGGCCGTGGTGGGGAATGGCCACAAGCGCGTGAGGAGCGTGCGGCCGCCTCCGTGCGCCAGCCAGGAGGGGACACCCACACGGGACGAGGCCAGAGGCGCCACCACCTCCATGTGCCAGCCCAGAGGGGACCCGGAGGCAGGGGCGGCACCGGGGGCTCCAGTGCGTCCCTGCGCTCGCGCACCAGGGGAAACTGAGGCAGGCCGGGTGCCGCGAGGGTTAAAGGCAGTGACCCCGCGCGGAGCCGGTCGAGCCGGTTCCCGGCTCCGTTCTCACGCGCCTCCTTCCTCCAGAGTCAGCCCGTTGGGGTGGAGATGCCCCGCGGCGGGCGCTGGCGGCCGGCCGAGCCGACGGGGCCCCGGCGTCCTGAGCGCCGCCGACGGCGCCCAGGTGTCGTGCGGGGCCCGGGCGTCCTGCGCGTCGCCGCGCCGCGTCTCGCACGCGCTGCACCGGTGCGAGGCCAAGCGAGGCGCAGGGACGAGGTCCCCGCACCGCGGCGCTCATTGCGCGCCCCCACGAGCCGGGACCCGGCTATTATTTAATGAATCCGGCAGCCAATAGCCGCCTAATTAGCGCCCTGTAATTAAGCCGCGCCGCCCCGCCGGGGGTGCCGCTGCGGGGCCGGGGCAGAGCGAAGGGGGAGCCCACGGGGGCCGCGTGTCCCGAGCGCCCGCAGCCCCCCGGGAGCCGGAGCCGGGCGGGCCGTGGGAGGCGGCGCAAGGGAGTGGATCCGTCGCAAGCCGCGGCAGGGCCCGGCATGCGAGCGGGCCGGTTTAGCTCGCCGCTCCGGCCCGGGC